AAGTTGGTAACTCCCAATAGCTAAATAACAACTTTCTTTTGTTTACAACGACGAACAATGGCGCGAACTGGACGCGATTATAAACGATTAGAAATTACGTGTACTTCGCATTCAGTTACGACAAAAATGTTTACATATTTCGATTCCTTATTCAATTTCGAATAAATGAGTGAAAAAAAAGTTGGTAACTTGCAATAGGTAAATAACTACGTTCATTTGTTTACTTCGATGCAGCGGCGCAGACTGGACTCGCCGCGAACTGGACGCAGCGCGATATTAGTAAATCAATTGCGTGTATTTTTTATGAAAATGAGAAAATTTTGATATTATTTCATTATCTTATTAAAACAAAACATAGTCCTAAGTAGCATGTAATTTGTTTAAAGTAATACATAAAAGTTATAAACGATTAGAGATTACTGGTACTTCTCAATCAGTTACGACAATGAGGCTTAAATATTTCGATTCCTTATTAAATTTCGAATAAATTAGTGAAGAAGAATATTGGTAACTCGCAATAGGTAAATAACAACAATCATTTGTTTACCATCCGCGCGCAGCGCCGCAGCGGAGGCGATCGTATGCGATTAGAGATTACTGGTACTTCTCAATCAGTTACGTCAATGAGGCTTAGATACAGAACAGCGGCGAGGATAACTGCTCAAAGGAGAGCGAGCGAGAGCGAAGGTAAGCGCGATAGTGAGAGCGTCGAAGTAGCGAACGGCGTGACGGCCGACGCGTGATTTAGATTTTAATAGCAAACAACCAATTGCATTTACCAGATCGACGCGCATTGTTTGCGTTGTACAACAATCCCGATAATAATGGCTACTCACGGTACGATGCATGAAAATCAATTTTAATACTTGGTGTATGTATACGACAACAACAATTAGGTTATGTTTAATTAAATTTCTCCCTGATTTTTCCCTTTTAGAAGAGGACAAGAGCGAAGGTTCTGCAGAGATGGAGGTCGATAACGAGGGAGAAGAATCCGAAGAACCCGACAAGATATTAATTATAGATCCTGATAGCGAGGTTTGTATTTTGCATTTAATTGCTATTATATCATAATTGTTATTAAATTTATCTGTTTCTTATTAATTTTTTATATATAACACAATATATATATTGTATATATCTTATTAGCAAAATTGCTATCACATTGATGTGTTTCAGGAGTTGGATTTTAATCATTCAAAACTGACAAAGTTAGAAAATCTGGAACCATTGACACAGATACGCAGATTATGCTTCACATGGAACTTGATTAAAAAGATAGAAAATCTTGATATGCTCACCACTTTGGTAGAACTAGAATTAAGGGATAATCAAATTGTGACTATAGAGAATCTGGATGCTCTTGTGAATTTAGAGTAAGTTATCTTTAATTCTACAAGCATTATTTGATATATATATCTCGAGTAATGTATTGCTTCTTTTTAGACTCTTGGACTTATCATTTAATCGTATCAAAAAGATAGAAGGATTGGATAATTTATTGAATTTACAAAAATTATTCTTATCTTCAAATAAGGTTTCTCATATAGAAAATGTTTCACATTTGGTAAATCTTACAACACTTGAATTAGGTGATAACAAGATACGTGAAGTCGAGAATCTGGAGGGTCTCCAAAAACTAACTAATTTGTTTCTTGGTAAGAACAAAATTACTAAGATCCAAAACTTGGAGAACCTGCAGGGACTCACGTTGTTGAGTCTACAGAGTAATCGTATTACGAAAGTTGAGAATATCGAGGAATTAAGAAATTTAGATCAGTTGTACTTATCTGAGAATGGCATAACGTGTATAGAAGGCATAGAAAACTGTCCGGGATTAACAACGTTGGACCTAGCTAATAATAAAATTAAGAAAATTCAGAATATAGATCATCTTGAAGATCTGGAGGAGTTCTGGGTAAGGGAAATAGTGTTAAACACATAGCGTTGCATTAATATTACATTTTTAATATACTTTTCACTTATAAGCCGTTAATTCACAGATGAACAACAACGAGATCGAAGACTGGAACACATTGGAGAGTTTAACAGCCAACAAGAAATTGCGAACTATATATCTGGAGCACAATCCTGTCGCAAAGGATCCAAATTACAGGAGAAAAATCATGTTACTACTGCCATGGCTCGAGCAGCTGGATGCAACTCTGTGTAAGAGGAAGATATGCTAACAGTGACAAAGTTAACAATAAGTAAAGCGTATTGCGCTCACGACTATAGAATAGCATAAATTGTTTATAGAAAAATCAGTCCATGTGGTTTTCGTTCATATGATGAACGGAAAAACAAAACCGCATCGTTGTTATTTACTTCCGTTTATAGCTTCGGATGTTACGTGTCTTTGTAGAGACGTTATAATATGTAGCTTGACGCTAATACCTATACACTCAATATGTATTCAAATGGTAGTCTATTAGCGAACCGATCAATGTTGGAATTCCACTTGTGATTGTTCGCGTTTCTCCAAAACTCTATTATTTATATCACAAAGAAGATGTTGATGATACTCGATACTTGCGTTTCGTTCTATAATGAGCTACGAAGAACAGAATGTATTCCAATCCTAATATATGTATATTTCTGCTATCTAATTTAATCATACTATTATCTACTGTTGTATTATGCACTTCCACTAAAATTTGTTCAGCTCAATCTATCTGTATTGGTTAATAACGATGAGAAGATTTATAAATATTTCCTCAATACTGTTGATAGTGCTAGGCGTGGTGACCTCTCTCTCTCTCTCTCATATGTCTGTGATGCTGATTACACACAGACATATGGGAACTTATAGTTCAACGTCGAACGGCGATTTGTAGACAACTCTCTTGGCAAGGATACTCGGTGCTTTGCTATTGCTTTCCGAGAAGAGACAGGAGCGTATAAAAAAAATATTTGTCTCTGCGAGGAATCGAACCTGATGTCTATAAAGTATAGTAGGCCAATGCACTGCCTACTATACTATGTTAGCGCTTGTCGGATATACATTTTTAAGTAGTGTTTCAAATTATCTACAAGATAATTCTTTTTCTCCCTCTGAAGTACTTCCTTTTGATAGTATTATTATTAAGAATTAATATATTGTAAAAATAATGATCTTACATATTTTACAGCGGCATAAAAATGCAGCTTTTTGTAATCATCACTTTGTTGATCCTATAATAATTATTGCTAAAATGTATAATAATTATTTGAATTTATATCAATAAACAAATGTTAAATGTCTCAATTGTACACTGTTAAAATCATTCGACTTTATAAAACAATAGATATGAGACTGCACGTTGAAAAATTCGTTTTGAAACGGTCTTAAATCTTTAATAATAATTTAATGATCGTAGTAGTTGCTCAACAACGTGAGTCCCTGCAGGTTCTCCAAGTTTTGGATCTTAGTAATTTTGTTCTTACCAAGAAACAAATTAGTTAGTTTTTGGAGACCCTCCAGATTCTCGACTTCACGTATCTTGTTATCACCTAATTCAAGTGTTGTAAGATTTACCAAATGTGAAACATTTTCTATATGAGAAACCTTATTTGAAGATAAGAATAATTTTTGTAAATTCAATAAATTATCCAATCCTATAAAACTTTTTTAATGATCGTACATTATAAAACTTTTTTAATGATCGTACATTATAGAACTATTTTAGCATACGGAATTTTTTCTTTTCTAAAATTTTTTTTTTTTACTGGATTCGAAGCAGTTTGAGAGTGATTTATATAAATTCATTGTATAAAAGTACAATTAAAATGTTTACAATAAAGATCAGAATAATAGGATCGAAATTTATTTACAATATTTATCTAATATATTTTCATCATTCAATCGCGACTATATCTTTGATTATCATTTATAACAATACATCCGCGACAACAATATGCGCAGTAGAATGATAATGGAGTTTCCTGGAAGATTGATTCGTCATTATATATATCACATCTCATTATTGACGAATCATCTCATATACCGCTTTTTGCGTCAGGCCTTATCACGAATCTTCTCTCTCCCCTATCTCGATAAGTTTCGGAACGTATTCGGTAACCAATAGAAATCGTTCTCCAAGGTTCCCGCGAAGTGTACAGAAGTGCAATCGCTAGTGTTCATCGTGAGGAGCAGGGCCGATTTTCAATGAATTCGGCGATCGTCAAACCGATCGAATTTGCGTTACCGATTCGAGAAAGGGACCATAATGCAATCGCCAGTTCCTCGGAGCGCTCGGGGCTCCGGCTCGGCGGCGGACATAGTAAAAATACACAAATCCCCGTCGGTGGTTGCCGAGGCGCGAGGAACGATGGCGCCGACGGACGGACCGGGTGGGCATCACGCATGAATACGGCGTGACGTCATCCCGCCAGCGCTCGGCGTTCGGCCATTTTGTGTGAATGAGCGCTCGCTCTCACGGGGTATTTGTGTTACGGGGCTCTCGGCCAGCGGCGAAAAACCCGAATGATTTAGTTTCGCGAAGGTAGAGGGGCACGTTCGGCGTCGGATTACATGTGCTAAGGAGTGTACGGTATCGCACATACGCGTGAATTGTCCGTGCAGGCGGCCGTCGCGGTACGATGGAGGAGAAGGCGTCGCTCAAAGAGCTCGACCAGTGGATAGAACAGTTAAACGACTGCAAACAACTGACAGAAAGTCAAGTGAAAACTCTCTGCGACAAGGTATCCGATCCGAGGCGGAATCGATCTGCCACCCCCGCGACCCCAGCGATCGAAAGCGCGTCCCCGACGTCGGCTCGGCACGTCGCGGCCTCGCGTTAATTATTCGCGTTTCGACCACTATCGCGTGCTGCCTCGACGCCAGGTATACCGTCGTGTGTACGTGCATATATATATACCCCTCTCTCTCTCTCTCTCTGTGTGTGTGTGTATATCTGCGAACTCGAGTCGGTGTTACCTCGCGTCGGCCGTTGAGCGCGGCCCGCGTCTGCACTCTCATCCGATCTGCATTCCCGGTGTCGCATTCGCATCGTCCTCGTCGGGGTGACCCGCGGAGATCGGCGACCCGCGCCTCTCGAGGCTCCCCCCTCCCCCCGTTCGATCGCCGTTCGATCGCACTCACTCGCGCGCGCGAGCGATCTCCAACGTCTTCGCCGTTGGGTGCCTCCTTCTGCGACGGGGGCGGCGACGATGACGGAGCTTCGTTTGCGTTCGTTCTATTTTGGTTTTTATCGCTTCGAACGCACAGATTTCGCTTCGGCAACAGGTGCATATCGCGCTTCCGATGTTGCAATTGATCGGTACAGATACCAAAGTAAATCTCTCTCTCTCTAGCGCGTTTCAGGTAAACGTCACTTCGCGTCGTTTCGTATGTCGGAACGACGTGCGATGCATTGCGGATTGTACGTGTACCGTGTGACGTCGTGCCAAGAGATAACAGTAACTCTTGTATATCTTGGAATATCGGCTTTGGCATCTGTCAGCCATCCTATCTCGCGTTAATTTGTATCTCCGCCGTGATACAAGATAGATGATGACAAAACGTTTATCACCTATGAATCATAGAGCTTTTTCGCGGACATAAGACAATTTGTCATACTGTTTGCAAACCAACACAGAGGAGTTGCTTGAAATTGAATAAGAATATAGCCAAGATTGTAGCTTGTGTCTCGACAAACAATGGATAATACTTATGATTTGATATTAGATTTCAAGAGCTAATTGGTCTGTTCTCTTTAGCTCGGCTGGCTGCACTGTTTGAAGAAATGTACGTATATACACTTTGAAGCGTACGTACGACATTCTCGTGCTTCGATGTGCGTAAATTTCTTGAACCAACGCAGCCAGTTTGACTGAAAAGAACAGGCTGACATGTAACAAGGATTTCTCGTGCAAAGAGCCACATTCTGCATGATTAGCCCGAGGTTCATTTCAACCTTTGAATCTCAGTTTTAAACACCACGCTAAATGAGATTCAGAGGTGCGAGCACGAGTATTTTTGAATGAACTATACTTAGACCCTTGCGATATTATAGCCGAAATGTGCCTTACAACGATTCATTGCTCATGTTTCGTCTGTGTTATTATGCCAATTGGCCGATGCGCCCGCATTTCTAAATATGCGCCAGTAATTGTATCTGTAATTGGCAGCTGAAATTCATTTGTCGGGAGAAATGTCGCGCAAAGTTCCGCGTGACATTTCCGTATTACAGCGCGACTTTTTACTTCCAATTTGGAGTACAACGAAAGTTGCTCCATTATTGTATTCGTGTTCGTTCGCGTTTTGTTTCGCGCGTGTCCACGAAAATTCTCATATATTTCGACTTTTTTAGGAAAGATAAAAAGAAAAGCATTATTTTTTAAATATTAATCTGCTTCCCTTTTCGGTTTTTACGATATTTATGGTAGAGGCTATATTTACTGTCTTTAAGGTTATCTCACGATATTTCAAATTTTCAGGCGAAAGAAATCTTAGCTAAGGAATCAAATGTACAAGAAGTAAAATGTCCTGTGACGGTGTGCGGAGATGTACATGGGCAGTTCCACGACTTGATGGAACTGTTTAGAATAGGTGGCAAATCACCCGATACAAACTACCTTTTCATGGGTGACTATGTAGACCGTGGCTATTATTCGGTCGAAACCGTCACTCTGCTCGTAGCTCTTAAGGTATAGCGCAACATACAATTTTTATTTATACATTTATACAGTCACACTATCAGCAGTAATCAATGTACACACATACAAATTAGTGTATCCTATTTACGTGTGTATATGTTTGCTTTTTCATAATGGATAACAAGGTAGATACCTACTTGCACTAAGTTCATCTTTTCCTTTTCTTCTCTTGCTTTACGCGCATGAAGGTGAGATATCGAGAGAGAATAACCATCCTGAGAGGCAACCATGAGTCCAGGCAAATCACACAGGTGTACGGATTTTACGACGAGTGTTTACGTAAATACGGCAACGCCAATGTATGGAAATTTTTCACGGACCTGTTTGATTACCTGCCACTGACAGCACTGGTCGATGGTCAAATATTCTGTTTGCATGGTGGTCTATCACCGTCCATTGACACTTTGGATCACATACGTGCTCTAGACCGCCTCCAGGAAGTGCCACACGAAGTTAGTATTCATCGTGATCGTTGTGAGAGATAATTGTTGCATTGGAATTTATTTCATAATAATCTTCACGATTTATTTTAATTTGATGCAGGGTCCCATGTGCGATCTACTATGGTCAGATCCAGACGACAGAGGAGGGTGGGGTATTTCACCTCGCGGGGCAGGATACACCTTTGGTCAGGATATCTCAGAAACATTTAACCACTCCAACGGACTAACGCTCGTATCACGAGCCCATCAGTTGGTCATGGAGGGTTATAACTGGTAAGAGCATTGATATTATCCACTTGGCAACCATACTCCAACCATGTTTCTCTTCTGCTTACACGACATGTTCAGGATAGTCCGCTTATTAAATCGAATTGTCGTGGCATAAGTAATAATAATTACATCGCTCTCGTTACAGGTGTCATGACCGCAATGTTGTGACTATATTCTCTGCACCTAATTACTGCTATCGTTGCGGAAATCAAGCTGCGATTATGGAATTGGATGATGCTTTAAAATATTCATTGTACGTATGAACGATAAATTCTCACTCGATTTCTCTATTAATTTTATATACACAATATGCAAGTTATTTTTTTATGTTGAATATTTCCAAGTGTATTTTCTGCGACACTATAAATTTGCTAGAATTTCTCTATTAATTTTATATGTACAACATGTAAGTTATTTTTTTATATTGAATATTTCCATGTATGTATTTCTGCGACACTATTTCTTTCTCGTGGAAAAAATTTGTGGAGAGCATATTGTTAATTAAATATTCTCCAAAATGTAATGCATTTGTCTACCGATAAAAAAGTGTACGATTATTAATTATGTCGGATTTCATTACAGCCTACAATTTGATCCAGCACCAAGACGTGGAGAGCCACATGTTACCAGGCGAACGCCAGACTACTTCCTCTAAGGAGTTTAAGCTTCAGGGCTAGGTCTCAAGGTAGGGGAGTGGAAACGATCTTGACATTATAGTGACGCCAGACTACATAACTTATGATAGAACATCGCTAATGAGTGTAAAGATCGAACATGGTCTTTGCACACCACATATAGTCCCAAGTATTATATCATGGCTCACTTTGTGGTGTCTCATTGAGAGATAGAATAGATACACACGCACATTTCGTGCGTGCCTTACACGATACATGTAGACACAACATTACTTGTACACTAAAAAAAGAAGAAATAAGAGGAAGAATACAATAATGTACACACGTACCGATTAAATTCACCTGTAGCATTGAGTTTTACAACTTTCATTATATCCGCTTGTATTTTTATTATAAAGAAACTGAATATATATATATATAATACACATTGCGCGTAAATATATACATATATATATACATACACACACATATATATATATATATACATATATATATATATATATATATATAAAATAGGTAGAACGGAAAAATATTCATCGTATTGTTTTGTAATCTTGAATGAAAATATTAAAACTTGGTGAGAAAGGAATTTATATAAAAGCGAAACAGAAAGCAAACAACGTATTCTAAGGGAATGCGCATTTTAGACGCGATTAACTGTCATGCAAGATTCCAACCAAAAAAAAAAGAAAGGTTACATCAAGACGGTAATTTGTATTTAAGAGATTGTCACGTTATTGTCGGTGTGAATGGGGCATGATATGTTCCACTTGAAGGAAATACGAAGGTGAGTTGATGCAACAGTTACATGGGCATGCGAAAATTGTGCCATACGGAAGAATCCATGGTAAATATGTAGTGTTTCCGAGCGGACCTGTTAAAAAGAGTATTTAATGTGGCATTATACACGTACGGATTCATCGGAATCATGATGAGCGATAGTTACGTTAGAATTCGCAATACTCTTTGTCTTCGAGTAAGACGAGAACGTAGACATTTTCATCTAAATGATGTAGAACTTTACAAAACGCGAGTGTAAATGTAAATATTCTCATTGACGTCGCTTTCTATTACTCATAATATTATTTTTGCAAAATAATACGTATTTGTATAATAAAAGGGAAACCGATGAGAATGATATTTACATCCGCGCTTTAAACATTTCTCCTTCATTTAGATAAAAAAATGACCGTCGTTTAACGTCATCTTCGAAAAAGTTCGTTGGTTTTTCCCACGTATTGTTTTTTCTCAATTTTTTTTTATCAGCTGTATTTTCACATACTATATATATATATATATATATNATATATATATATATATATATATATATATATATATATATATAGTGTGTGTAGAGAGAGGGAGAGAGAGAATTTTGTTATACTAAACTGCATTTTAGAATCAACTTGTGTACCGCATCAATTAACGCCGAGTAATCCAGGAAACATATAACACACTTTTGCATCAATTCTATCTGCCTTCTAAAATGAGACACACACCACATACACACACACGCGCGCACGTACGTACGTACGTATGTATGTACTTTATACCGGATGAATCTACGAATTCACGTTGGTTAAATTGAAAAGAACAAAAAAAGGAAGTTATCGATTGCTTGTAAACCTACCGATGACCTTTTTACTAATTAATAGGTATATAAAATAATGCTTCTGGTAAATAAACATGTGTAATGCAAGCCAAAGCAACCCAATATGTTGTGTCAAATTTCATATTCGTTGAACACAGGAGCATTGTGTACAATGTGAGCAGCTAAAAGAGAGAAAGAAAGAGAAGGAGAGAAATACACGCGGATGTATTTTATAGGAGTAATAATGTAAGCATTGCAATTCGAATATATAACGCATAATGGAAGCGATCGCAGTAGAGCGACGGGATGACGAGGCGAACGTGAAATGTGTAGATGCACATTATAGCAATTTACTAAGACTGTAAATCCATACATAGCACAGGAAGAGCAGCGTGTGGAGGTGCGAACAACGCGCGAATCTTCTTTCTCCTGCACAATGCTGCTCGAGCATTTTTTTTCCTCCTTTGCGTCTTCTATTATTGCGATACGAGTATCCACACACGTATATATACAACAATACACACGAACACATACACACATACACATACGTACATTCTCTGGACTACAAACAATAAGAATAAATTTTCCTATAGAACGAGAATACCACCACTTGTAGTATTATAATGCGACGGAGACGGAGACGGAGGTTAATTAGAGGTACAGCGAAGGAATAATAGGTACCGGCTACCGTAATAGCTAATTTTGTATCTGCTCTATTTATTGTCCCTCTCACTGCGCACTGACTCCCATACAATGGACAAAATTAATACGAAATACTCCGCTAAATCCGTTGTTGAAACGCGCTTAGTATCCGGCACTGATAACGTCGTGTTTCACAGTGGTGTGCGGCAAACACGAGGAGAGAGTAGAGAAAAAGAAGGCTATTGTATACTTAGGTTCGTTTGCAATCTCCGAGCACTTTTCGTTGATCTAAATTTCGCGAGTGCTCCCACTGTACTAAAGTGAACGATTCATTAATACGCATATATACACACACACGACGATGATAATAATATCTTAGCCGTTTGAGGAGAAACGATAGGGCTTTTCATTTTACACTTAACACTACGTAGAGAGATTGATATATGATTAATTGTTCGAACATTAAAACATGCGCGCGCGGAGCAAATTTTATATATCTCGATAAAACTGAAACATCTTTCGTGATAGCTTTTATAATTTTTTAATATTATCCGAAAAATAATGTTAAAAAACCCGATTGTACATGATAAATATAGAATTTTGGGCTATCCTAGCACGCGATTTACTCCTCGTGACTTTATGTAACATGAGCTTCATTTGAAATATTTTACTCCTTAGCTTGCAAAGTCTGGCTTCGGACGAGTCCAGATCGTCCAATTTGTGACGAGAAACTACTGAAAACAAAAAAAATGCCATGAACGTATGATTATAATGTCATCTCATTATAAGAAATTAGAGAAATAAAGAGATATTATCACATTTAAGACGGAGTTTTGTTTGTATTTTTGCACGTTCGCGGTATTCCACGAATGTGTCATACACGCAAGGTTCGTTTTCCGTGTGTCTGTTTTTGATCACTTTTATCCTTTTCTTCACAAGTCGGATATCACATAGCGCACGTATCTTATCTACGTTATCACTTTCGCGTATACAAGTATTTGTATCAGGTGCGATCAAGATAATATGCCCAAAGATAAAACTTTATCAGTATACTTCTCAGTTGTGCGTACAAATAGACATTCCAGCATGTCTAAGAAAATATTTTTTTTTATTTTGTATCTTTCTTCTTTTGCATGAAACAAAGTTTCGTCAGTCTTTACAATAATACACATTACATATCAAAGTAACAACTAATCTAATTTCGTTGATTTGTTCGATGTTATTTGAACATTCATATATGTCGTGCTCAGAGCATTGTAAATCTAAAGCTAACGGCACATAATGCTTATTTTCGTGTTGAATTGCTTGCTGGATGGAAATACTGCGTTCTGATTGGTGTATCGTCATCCATTTTCGGAAATACGCTAATCAGGACGCAGTATTTCCATCCAGCAAGCAATCCAACATAAAAACAAGCATCGTGTGCTGTTGGCTTAAATCTGCACAAAATGTCGATGAGTTTATGGAACACGTTTATCACAGAATATTACGATTTACCGATCACCATCGTTAATAAGTTGCGATACAATCGTTAATAAATGTTAATATAAAGATCTTAAATTTTATTGGAAGGTTGAATTTAATATGGCGTAATTAAGAGAGTCGTTTTGTCTCTACAAAATTGTAAGGATAAAAATATATGCGGGAAGATTTCGCTGGAACAAAATAAAGATAAAATTGATCTCGATCTTTTAAGAAAAACAGTCGACAAATTTTATTTCATAATTGCGACTCGATGTGCGTCAAGATAGATAAAATATTTCTAAATATTTACACGCGCTAATTAAAAATTCTTATTAACGACGTTTAAGAAATCTATAAAAAATACAGAAAATAAATAGAGAATATATACTTTTACTATACAAGTGTGCAATTCTTTTTTCGCTTTCTTTTCACAAGAGAAGAATAAAAGAATATCTTTATGAAAATAATATACAATTCTAATACAGTCCAATGTCAATATTAAAAAAGTTGAAGTGCGGAAATATATTATAAATTTTAATGCAAATAAATTTGACATTCATGTATAACTCATACGTATACATGCATGTAAATTTATTTGCTTTATTTACAAAGGGCAGTTACATTTATGTTTCTTCTAAATTACACTTTCATTCCCGTGTCTAAATCCAACATCTGCCTCATTATCTCGTACGACGTAAAACCGACAGCTACGAAAGGAACAGATCGTAAGAAATTGACAGTCATTCCACGATATAAACCTCTCATAACGCCGTCTTCAATGTATATCATGCGCATAGTCGACCACATTCCCGATCTGAAAGAATAACGTGGTCTGGCAGATTAATAATATTCAGATATAAAAGAAGCATTAAAAAACACGTCACAAAGAAACTGATCACATCGTGGAAAGAAAGGAGACTGCAATACATATCAAATGTAGAAAAAAGCGACAAATATGTTCTAATAAAAATAAGGTTCTTCAACTATATTCTTTACAAAAAAATGCAATTATTCCAAAAAAATTATTAAAAATAATTTTAAAACATATATAAACACTTTACAATCGTAAGAAAAAAAGAAGACTGCAAAATATGCTAAATATATTAACAGTTTTACGTTATTATTATTTTATGTTAGAATGTTGCGTTATACATCACTTACCCATACTTATATGTGGCTGGATGCATCATAGCTAATTGCATGCGCCTCTTAGTGACGTCTAATGGGTAAGAGACTGTATGCGCCACGGCACCGGCGACGCCTCCGCATAGGAGTTTCGCGAATACATTCAATACGAGGCCGCCTATGTACGACATCGAGACGACGAGATATATTATTATATTTTCATCATTTTTCTCGTGCGTTACTTATCGCAAACAATTTGAATTTATCGATTGTCTATGTTGTAATCGCGCATCGTTAATTGTCCAAGTCTCCGGCAGATTCTGTTTTAGATTGCTTTTGACGCGAGAGACATTTGCTTTACGTTGAATTCAGAAAACGAGCCACTCACCGGTATTCGCTTCTCTCTTGGAGCAAAAGTAATTCGACGCGCGTTTCATGCACAGATATTTCAGTTTCTCGTACGTGTAGAAGGACAATCCGGCGTACGGTACCATCGCTATCACATTCGGCAGGTATCCTCTATATAACGCGCGAAAACCACCTTCCTAAAATATTCGATAACGTCATGTATGTTAATGCGCCGTGAAAAGCTAAATTTGGAAATCCGTAAACGGCTTGCTTTCGTAACTAGTACACAATAGACGATTACAGTCAGTGGTATCGTAGGATCCTTATGTGAATTCAGTTATTCTCAAATAGATAACTTACAATTGATGCACTTTACCTGTCGAAAAATCTTAATAGCTACGTCGGATATCCCAGTGTAAATTGTGTCACCGTTGCTAAGAAAGGCTAGTCTCGCTCTAATCATATCCAGTGGATACGTGATCGTAGCTGCTGTAACACCTCCGGCAGCTCCAGCCAGAAACCGATCTATATGTGAATGTTGCCCGAACGATCCTCCTAAATGCTGGAAAGAGTCACGTGAACATTAATATTAATTATACCAACGTAATTGTTCTAATAATTATCACAAATTTATTCCATTGCCCTTTTTCAAACGAGTCATTTTCGTATCTTGATAAACGTTTGGCTTGTTCAATGATTGTTTCTATTTCCATTTTCTTTTTTTCCCTCACCTTTTTGTACATTTCATACGCTGTAAATTGCCCTGCCGCATACGGAACCACCCTGATCATTTGAACAAAATTGCCTTTGTACAGAGCACAGAAACCTTCACTTTGTATGATGTGCTTTAGTCCTGAGAAAACGCCTGAAATGTATACTCATAATGATAAACCTGTGTGTGTGATATTTTGTTATAGCGTTGCATTTATTGTCAAGGAGAAATCTCAAAATGCTCACCTAGATGTCTATAATGCTTGTGCTGCGCTTGTAATAAAATTTTTATCCTATCTAACGGTGCCACTGCTGTTTTCGAGCACATTCCAGCGACGCCTATAATTTATTTATAAGTATTTATTTGCACACATATTGCATTACTCTTACGATACATATAATTATATAATTATAATTTACATATATATTTATAAACGTAAATATAGGATATTTCAAATCTATTTAGGCGATCGTTCGGGTTTAGGTGTATGGCTGAAATTCTCGAGGATACTCGACATTTTGGCGCGAAAGTTCGGAAAACTTGGAAAAGTTAAATTTCGAAATCAAACCTTGCGCGTTCGACTGATGCAATATGCGATAGCCAATAGCTGTCGGGAACGATCTCACGATTCTCTCGTGTTCCAAAACTCATCACAAATGATAAAGGAATATTAGACGTAAACTTTAGAATTTCTTGCTGTCGTGCGACATGACGTTCCTGAGCACGCAAATTTTGGATAAGCCGACTGATCAGTCAAAATATAAAGCAAAAAAACAGGTTACATATGTATTTCTATACATATTTTTCAGCATTTGGCAATTATTTATGTAACACTATAGAGACACATTGTATACTTAAATTACGGTTTCTAATATTTTCTGTAAATTTAAATTAAAATGAAATAGACGCGTATTGTGCGACGAAGAAAAAGGAGAAAAAAGATCGAGATCAGCAGAAAATATAGCTGAAAGAAGTAGCCAGTGATAATTTGATAATTACCTATCTCTTAAATTATACATTTGTTGATTTGTTGATTTGCACTCCCTTTTTATTTACAGTTCTTTCTTTCGCGTTTCAGGCCGTGAGCCGTGTTACCGAAATCGTCGAATTAAAATTTACTCGAGTCCTGTTATTCTCGTGTCAATTAAGGAGCCACGGGTGAATTTGCAAGTACGATACCGAAGGGACTTACCGCCGGCCATAAGGTTCTTCAGGATGATGTGGGGAGTCTTTCCTTTTTCGTCGGGCTGAGGCATACTTAGGCTGGGCGCTGTCAGTTGCCGGAATAATGCACGTTAAGAACAGCTGTGGGAACTGCAACGAAGAGTTGTCCACGATAACAGAGTTTCCGAGCGTGTGTTTGAAGGTTCTGCGATCTTAGTAGTGCGAGGGAAATGGGAAAGGATGAGTTCACTTACCTTGGCCACCAGTAACTCCAGTTTAAACTTATTATGTGTGCAGGTTACGTCAACAAGATATCAAGCCGGTAACCTATTTTGAAATTTTCAGATACATTTTCTCTGGTCTTTCTCTCTCTCTCTCTCTCTCTCTCTCTCTCTCTCACAACTAGCTCTGGGCACTCCTCGAGAAATAACGTCCTTATGCCACTCAATGAATAAAAAGAAAAAAGAATGTGGTTTATTAAAATTGTGTTCTGCCGAGGCAGCAACGACTTCGTCCAAAAGAATGGTGGGTTCGAAACGAACAAANCAGTTCTTGAGAAAGCTATTGAGCAACAAATGTGTTTTGTAAAACAAAACTTCAAGAATAAAATAAGTTGAGAACATATTTGGAATATGTTTGGACCTCGCGAGTACACAGCCACCGAACAAATAGATCCGTATTCGTCAATGACTCGCACAGGATTGTCTGTCGTTTTTCACTTGGCTATAATATATTATATTTTTTTTATATAAATAAAATGTGAAACATCATTCTTGATCAACTTTCCGTTCAACGTATCATTGAATATATGCATACTTATTTCCTATATATGTCGAATACAGAAGGCACGATAATAGCACAGCTGAGACAGGTAGAACAAGTTTTAAAAGACTCGTCAATATNGACTCGCACAGGATTGTCTGTCGTTTTTCACTTGGCTATAATATATTATATTTTTTTTATATAAATAAAATGTGAAACATCATTCTTGATCAACTTTCCGTTCAACGTATCATTGAATATATGCATACTTATTTCCTATATATGTCGAATATAGAAGGCACGATAATAGCACAGCTGAGACGGGTAGAACAAGTTTTAAAAGACTCGTCAATATGTCGTGTAATATTAAATTGATCGGTAAGAAATCAATAAAAAACCAGCCATCTAAAATTAAAATGTTTGGTGTTATTTATCTAATGCCGAGAGTAACAACAACTTATGACTTCTGCAAACAAGACGTGGCAGCGCTTTCTGCGCATCAGGAAACGACACGATGAACCAATTAACCTTTCGCTCTTGTGAAAAATTATTGAAATGAGAAGTTAATTAGCTGCTGCGTTTTGTGTGCAGAAGCCATTAAACGATAGCCAATCAGCTATTTATACGGGAATGCAGTCGCGTCTTGTGAACACTCGTAGTGCACTTAGTAAAGAACTGTACTTTGTTTAGCTACTCGTGTGGAAATCCACCTTTCGGCCACTCTAATCTAACCTAACCTAAGTGACTTATCACATGGCGGCAATGCGTGNGTCGTGTAATATTAAATTGATCGGTAAGAAATCAATAAAAAACCAGCCATCTAAAATTAAAATGTTTGGTGTTATTTATCTAATGCCGAGAGTAACAACTTATGACTTCTGCAAATAAGACGTGGCAGCGCTTTCTGCGCATCAGGAAACGACACGATGAACCAATTAACTTTTCGCTCTTGTGAAAAATTATTGAAATGAGAAGTTAATTAGCTGCTGCGTTTTGTGTGCAGAAGCCATTAAACGATAGCCAATCAGCTATTTATACGGGAATGCAGTCGCGTCTTGTGAACACTCGTAGTGCACTTAGTAAANTCTAAAATTAAAATGTTTGGTGTTATTTATCTAATGCCGAGAGTAACAACTTATGACTTCTGCAAATAAGACGTGGCAGCGCTTTCTGCGCATCAGGAAACGACACGATGAACCAATTAACTTTTCGCTCTTGTGAAAAATTATTGAAATGAGAAGTTAATTAGCTGCTGCGTTTTGTGTGCAGAAGCCATTAAACGATAGCCAATCAGCTATTTATACGGGAATGCAGTCGCGTCTTGTGAACACTCGTAGTGCACTTAGTAAAGAACTGTACTTTGTTTAGCTACTCGTGTGGAAATCCACCTTTCGGCCACTCTAATCTAACCTAACCTAAGT